GCGAAATGGTTATCAAACAGATAGACCGACTGAAGCAAAATAAATCCCCGGGCCCTGATCAACTCTACTTTTTTCAAAGATTCTTAATTAAAGAGTAAAATACAACTTTGTAAACCATTGACTAATATTTTTAATAATTCTTCAAACATGTGTAGTGTCTAACATGTGGAACATGGCTAATATAATTCCTATTTTTAAAGCACGAGACATGTCGTTACCGTCAAATTACCACCCAGTAAGCCTGACTTCAATTTTACGCAAATTACAAGTCAATATAGCTGATATAATAACATATCTCAACAGGCATAGCTTCATTAATGATACTCAGCATGGATTCACGACGGGCCGTTCCTGCCTAATTAATTTATTAACCACCTTCAGTGAAGCTTGAGGTCGTTCATCATAAAGAATACTATATTCTTTATTTACATTCTAGCAAGGCTTTTGATAAAGTACCGCACCAGAGAAACAAAATGGCATTGGGGGGAAAAGTGCCGTCATGGCTCACTAATAGAATGCAGACATTATGCTTAAATGGGAGTTAAATACGAGTGGCGATCTAACAAATGGCGTACCACAGGAATCAGTCTTAAGCCCGTTGCTGTTTATAATATATATCTAATATATATCAATGGCCTTGAGAGTATTACTAGTGACATCAAATTCGCAGATGACAAAAATAGGTACGAAAATTTACTCAAACGTAAATGTTAGGGAACTTCAGGAGGATTTAGACAAAATATTCTTGGTTACAAAAGTGGCACATGCAGTTCAATATAGATAAATGCAACGTTCTCAAACTCGGGAGTGTCCATAACCCTACCACTTATAACTTAAATAATGTACAACTTAGCCATACAGATTGCAGAAAGGACTTGGGAGTTATGGTGAGCAATAACCTTAAACCAAGACAGCAATGCCTAAATGTACGTAATAAGGCAAATACATTATTGGGATTTATATCAACAAGTCCAGAGGTTATACTGGGTTACTCTTCCAATCTATTTTTACATAACATAAGGGAGAAACACTGCACAAGGCCTACTGGCCCATGCAAGGCACATCCTCAGCAAAACGACCTCTACCCAATGACACCAATCAAACCCAGCCCCTCCCACTCATATTTCTCCAATCTCTTCTTAAAGCTACCCAAGGCCCTAGCCTCCATCACCCTACTGGGAATATTGTTCCAAGCATCCACAACTGTTACAAAACCAGTACTTACCTATGTCCTTTCTAAATCTAAATTTATCCAGCTTAAAACTATTATTTCTGGTTCTTACCTGGTTCGACACCCTCAGTACTTTATTAATATCTACTTTGTTTATGCCCATCATCCATTTATACACTTCACTATTTCCCCTCGTTCTACATATCTCCAGAGTGGAGATTTAAGGCTTCAAGTCTATCTTCATACAGGAGATTCCTTACACATTAAATCATTTTATTCATTCTTCTCTATGTTTACCAATGAATCTATCCATCCTGTAGTAAGGAGACCAAAACTGAGCGGCATAATCCAAATGAGGCCTCACTAGTGAGGTATAGAGCTGTAAAATAACCTTTGCACTTGTCTTACTTATACTTCGAGATAAGTCATAGTAATTTGCTACCCTTGTTGCGCACACTAAGGCACTGCTGTCTTGGCTTTAGATTTCTGCTTACCATGACTCCCAAGTCTTTCACATACTCTATGATCAACCTCTACTTCTAGTTTATAGCTTCCAGAGTTATTTTCATTGCCAAGGACTAGTACCTTACACTTATCCACATTGAACTTCATCTGCCATTTTTCAGACAAACATATTAATTAATTTGTCCAAATCCTCCTAGAGTTCATTGCTATCCTCTTCAGAATCAATTATACGGCCTATCTTGTATCAGTAAATTTACTCTTGTCACTCTTAATCCCTTAATCAAGGTCATTAATGTAATGTAAACTATCAACTGATCCCTGTGGAATGCCACTAGTGACTAATCCCCATTCAGATTTCACCCCATTAATGGTAGCTGCTTTCTATTAGTAAGCCATGCCTCTATCCATGCTACAACTATCTCCTATACCATGAGCTGCCACTTTTCTTAAGTCTCTTGTGAGGTACTCTATCGAAGGCTTTACTAAAACCTAAATAAACTATCATATTCTTTATCACTGTCCACTGCCTCAAATGTTCTATTGAAATACGTCACTAAATTTGTCAGACAGGAACGACCTCTCGTGAGCCCATGCTGATTCATTAATCAAATTATGCTCATCAAGGCGGCTAATAATGTCAGCTATAATCGACTAATAACTTGCCCACTATACATGTCAGGCTTATTGGACGGTAACTTGGAGTGGACTTATCCCCTGATTTCAATATAGGAACCACAGCCATTTTCCACAACTCTGGCACAACACCGGTAAGGATGAATGCATTTTCTTACTCCTTTCCTTATTGTTTAACGGAATATTGATTTCTTAACTGCACTTCCCCTTTTCATACGCCTATATATACCTGTTGGAATCATTTGCTACGTCTAATTTTCCTACTCGCGACAAAAGTCGTCCCAATATAATTATTCGCTTTTCAGTAAAGCCTTCTGTTGAGTACCTAACGAAACTTACACCTTATGGTATACAATTTATGTATTGGTCTGAAAAATGCCAGAACTTCTAATGTGGAAAAGCTGCAAGGTCATGCTCCTTGGTAAAGAAAATAACTTATAAACCATGTCAAACCTTCAATATGAAAAAGGACTAGTCGTGCTAAGGAAAAATCGAAAATAAAGACAGCAGTGCCAAACTCGGTGCACCAAGTTTAAAATAAGATTTCAAAAAGTACAAAAAAATTCAAAAACTTATTGTACAGCTCTATACCTCAGTACTTACGCAGCTCACTTTTAGTCTTACTACAGGATCGATATAAATTCATTGTAGAACATGCACACAAGATTCGCTAAAATGATAAATTGTACAAAGATTCTTCTATATCAAGATATTTAGACCCTTCAATGTTCACTCTACTTACAATGAGATGATATACCAAAGTGGATAATGCCCAATAACAAGGGCCATAATAAAATATTCAAGGTATCTAACAAGATAATAACCACAATTAACATCAAAATTATATAAATATACATTTACAAAGACATGCATCACTACTGCTTTGCAAACACTACCCGTCAACAGTCTTCAGAGTAGGATAATACACGGTAATTTATAGCTTTATTAACATACGAGTGAGGCTGGATTTCATTGCTATCATATGTATATCAGTAAATTCTTGGGTACTTTTGCTAACGCGATTTTCCCGAGGACCTGCCTTCCATGTGCTAGTAACCCTTCTCTAGTGTTCCTTCATTCTTATACCACCGATACTACCCATTACACAACCTTTCCCTTGACAGAACTCTTCGCTCACGTCCTCTCATTCTATAATCTATTATAACTATGCTATCTCGATTACTTTAGAGTCCCAATCATACTATTCCATTCAGGGAAAAATATTCAATTAATATTAAACTTACTCCTCGAAAAAAAACTGATGCAATAAAACTCAAAACATGTCTAGTCGCCTAACATTTTGCAGGGACTGTGTACATAACACTATTTACATTATTACGTTCACTGTGGAGCATTAAACCAAGATGTCATATACCGCCTGGGGGATGCAAAGGAGCCACAGTAATCAAGGAATTAAAAGCACAGCTTCAGTGTCTCAGCTCAAGAGCCACTCGCCACCATCAACAAACATCCCTTCACCTCTAATACCCAACAATCATAAGAAATAAGGAACGGGCCCATACTGACCACGTACTTGTCAAATCCAATATTTGCTTTGCCCATTTTCAGTACTACCCAAGCAATAAACAAACTTGGACCACTTGTGCAAAGCATACTTAAATACAATCCCTCTCACTTGTATTTAACGTGAATTTTAAGCTAAAAAAATTTTAGCTTCAACAACCTTACTCTTAACTGTTCCACGCATCGAGTACTACGTTTCGAAACTAATGTGGCTTGAAGACAAGCGTTCCCATAAAAAAAAATCACATTCTTTGCACATGTCCTTTAACCTAACACTAATACACCTGTACTATAACCAATGGACTTTTAACTAATAATTTATATAAATCCTATAATCCGTGCCGTATTCCGTAGGCCTAAACAACCATTTGTTTCACGTTCCTCGTTACTACAATTTTTTTTTAACATTCTGTATGGCCAACCACTTTACAAATGCTAGTTGTGGACATCTCCCCCCCCCCCCCCAGCTTCAGAACTTTCTATTTGTCTATACTCAACGACATGTGCCACTATCCTGACCACAATACTATCTAAATTTTCTAGCACTTCATTTTCATCTTCCTCTGAATCCATTATCTTATATCTACCCAACTTGCTAATATCAATAATTATTCTATCAACCTATTACAAGCACTTAAAAGTCATCCCGGTGCAACTCCACTCTTTACAAATGCCCATTTATGCACACTGCTTCCAGTTGGCGAGACATCTGCCACTTATCAAAATCTTTACTCAACTAATAACTACCATTCTTCGTAAACAGTCAAAACGTTTAATGAAAGTAAATTTGTTTCGCAAGAATGACTTGTGAAAATGCTTAATATCACACCAAATAATTCTTATCAGATAGCTTCTGATATCAGCTATGATAATTTGCGAGTATACAGTCATCACCTACTTTAAAATAGGAATTACATCACCCATCTTCCACATACTACACTTCAAAACGTTACTTAATAGTTGACAGTTACATCTGGCACTACGAAAACATTTTCAGATTCAAAACAGCCCGGGGATTTAATTTCAAACAACTACCTCTTACTCCATAACCTTAACCAACATTTCCGCCACTAACAAATAATTACTGGGATATTGTTTGTGACTGAAAACAGTAACTTCAAAATCGTGCACATTTCATTCACCCTCGGTAAGATGCCACGACCTATTTTTAAGACTACGTATTTTATCGAACTTATTATATACCTGGAACAATATAATTTTTGGATTGATTTTTTAATCACCCGCCACTTAAATTTAATCAAGTTTAGCGTTATCCCTATTTAATGTGTATATTCATCTACGACATGGCCCTCACCTCTTCATATGCCTACAAATAACTTTCTTCTACCTGAGAAGACTAACCTACTTGACATCTTTTTCATTCTAAGCTGAATACCACTGCCTCAATTTACACTGAAAAAATCTCTACATCTTGGTTCCAAGTTCACACCCCGACATGGGGCGAAACCATTGTGCCAACAATCCCATTAATTCACCTAACCTATCAGACTAGTTCCTCTATTACCCAACAAAATTCACAATTAAACTTACAATAATTACTGTTGTATCAAGTTACTCTTCTCAGTTCTCTAATTATCACTCAACAGTATTTACTTTAACTGAGGAAGCAGTGAAAAACAGCCTTTTCATCAATAGCACGAGTTTCAATTCCAACATTCCTCAACCCTTGAATTCCTTACACTGATCGACCTGAAATATTAAAAAATATAAATGTTAAACAGTAATGTACTTTTTACCACAAAACAATATTTATTAATTATTCTCCTATATTAGTTCTATAAATTATTTGACAAGTTACCATTTGAGTTAAAGTCCTTAAAGAATTGAATACAAGAAAATTATCTAATTAACCTTAAGTATATTAAGATTAAAGGTATAAAACGCTAATTCCTATACAAAAAAAAAATGCACTATGGGAAGCTCACTTCCTTCAGTCTTAAAACCATTAATGGTCTCTACCAATTTGCCCCAAACCATCAAATAACCACAAGTCAACACGGAGGCTCCTAACATCAATTTTCGCTCCTTGACCATTCTTACCACCGATAAAAATGTCAAGGCAATACGGTAAAGGGTAGGGGAAAGTGGCTGGTGGTACTGGTAATAATAGGCTGTCTAATATTCACTATAGTTACCCTTGTGCTATATAAGCTATTTGGATCAAATATTCCACTCATTGCCACCTTCATTCTACCAGATGCGATTTTCTACGTGGACCAAGTACTTGCAGTACATGAATAATGTCACCAGTTTTAACAATTTTCAAACCTCTACCCATTAATTTAGTAGGAACGAGCACTAAACTCTTGCGGACCCTTAAAGAGGCAATACAATAGGGGAACAAAAGTACAATGCCTCCATTCAAGAATTCCTCGCAGCAAATTCTCTTAAAAAGAATTGTTTACAGTGATGAAACCCAGTGAAATTAATTTCAATTCCTGGTTAGTCTCGAGGATTATTTACATTATACGGTAAGCCTCACCCCCCCCCCCCAGACCAAAAGAGGCTCTTAACGCAATCTCAGGCAAACTAAAATTTAGCAAGACCCATCCAAAGTCGAGCACAAGGCACCTGCTAATTATAAATATTCCATTGAACCTCAACTTACTAATAGTACACCATGGTTACAGATTTAAAGCTGAACAGAAAGCATTCACTAACCTAACACTAAAGTACTTTAACAGTGAACTAAAATTTACTTTCGATTAATAATTTCTAAAGTTACTGTAAAAATTTTCAAAAATTCTTCAAGCTGAATTTTTACGATACATTACTTATTTCAATGTATAGTTCATTTATATCTGGTTATTTTTATTTACAAGCAAACTAGTCCACTCCGAAATCACTACTACTTAGGCCAATTTTTTTGAAGAAAACTTTTTTCAAATACGCTCCAGATATGTACACTACTTCCGTTTGTACTGATATTCTAACGTCTGCGAATCTCAACATTTACTGCCTTTGGCTGATCGCCAAGTAAAATTACGTAATTACATTCACTACAACATTAAACATTAACTTACATTAAAAGTAAACTAGACACAGCAATTCAGCCTGGTGCTTCACTTCAGCCGACTCAATCAGAATCCTAGAAACTTTCACTTTCTCTGATGGGTGATCAAAGTTTCACGAGTCTGCTTTGCCAACCTGTACTTGGCTTGGTTACGTTAATCTGAAAATGAATAAAAAGTGTGTTAGTGTAAATGAAGCTACACTGATGTGTAACAAGTGGAAGGAACATAACATTCATAGTTATTAACAAAAGATTACTGACAAAGCATACTTTACACCTATAATCGTTTTTAGACAAACTATTAAATATTACAAAAATTAATACAACTTAAATGACTAACGCAAATATTTCAAAGCTTTCAAATTCTCACAAGTACTTCATCAGTGGAGGCCTTTCAGTTGTAAAGTGATCATTTTAATAAATACTAAATGCCTTTTAAACAAGACTAGTGCGGGCAACACTATCCCTTTCAAAAATCCTCTCAAAACTTGGCACAATCACTTTACAAATGCCATACATTCTCCCGATTTGTAGTTATTAAACTCTCATTGAATAATACTGTCCTCCTCTAAAGGGCCCCCACTCTGAAGAAGCATTTCTGAATATGTACCGTAGTTCATCCTCGGCATAACGGAAGCCTTTCATACTTAAATTAAGAAATGAATATGACGGAACATTTCACCAAACTACACAAGACTGTCGCAAATGACAATCACTGACCTACAAAATACATGTCATGCGTTCCCTTTAATAACGGAACATCAAATGTTGGAACAAAGCTCCTTAAACATCAGAGTAGTAAAATTAACCTTAAGTTAAAGAATATACTTAAAACCGCGACTTTACCACCACCACCTCCCATGGCTGTCTCCTCTGTCAGTGAGGCAAAGCAACCCAGCACCCACCCACTCAACTAAAACAATGTTTCACACCTTAAAGAGCTATATAAAACTAACATTTGCATCACGATCAATGTACAAGTGGATGTCTCACGCCGACACTTCACTTCCATACCTGTCTGATAATTTTTTTTGTTTAACGAGAAATTTCGACTAAACGAGGGCTATTAAATCAAATAGCCAAATACTATCAATGATACCTTAATACCCGAGGTAGTTACCAAGGTAAAATATACATTACATACCCAGGCGAATAAAATAATTATCACCCATAAAAAAAACCAAGGATCATAGCATAATCATTTTTCCTGGCCCTTTCTCAAATCTGTTTGCGGGAGGGATAGCTATAGACGATAGAGGTGCAAGGAAAACGCCAGCAAGGCCAAGTGAGAAGGCAACAAGGTGCACAGGGCAAAGAGGCAGACGCCACACTGAGTAAAAAAAACAGCCATTTTCAATATTTCAAAATGAAAAGTTAAGCAATGCTTCAACGAGTTTAATTTCGTGTGGGGCCTAAATGCTCAAGTGGGAAGGTTAGTGTGCAGCAGGTAAGGTTACAGTGCCAGAGGTAAACTATAATAACGGGTGCCTTTGACATACGACAGGCTTCAGACTTTACAGTGGACAAGTCATTTGCATGACTTATTGCGTGAATGAGCAAAGTAACATCAGGGAAAAAATAAATACCGTGGCTAATACCAATATTCTGCAAATAAAAAAACGCCAGTTTCGGTCATACGTGAACAAACGCGGGGCAGATTTTAATAGTGGTTTCCATTCTCTTGTGGGGGTTATTTGCATTAATTGAAGAGTGAGGGAAAACTGACTAGATGTTGGAAGAATAATGCACTAATGGGCTGTTCCACTTGGAGAGGCCATCTTGTGACAAGACTAATTTTGGCTCTTTAGTCACCCTGTTAAAAGCTTACCTGTATAAGTTTTGTAATTACTTAAATTCTTGTCAAAACACGGCATACGTCCCGTTTGAAACAATAAGTTCCCTATGTACACTTAAAACTGCAGATTGTATAAAAAAATTTTCTTCATTCTTTAACTAATATTACCAGCCCATATGGAATGTACATCTTGCCACATCACTGTACACCTATTCCTTGTTCAGCAGTTCGAGAACAACCTATGCAAAATACATAATTTTCAGTGTTCGCCAGGCTTTCACACAAGCTCAGAATCTAAGCTGATAAAGAGCAACTAAACTCATGAAAATTAAAATAGGTATCCAAATGAAACTAAACAATTGGTTCAGAACAAAGCAATCAACTTCCTAATCATTATGAGTCTCCACTGCCAATAACTGGGTATGTATGTAGTTCACCCCATTCTTCTGCTCAGCTACATGACACTATGGATCATTAAGCATTCACCCAGATATTTATTTTTAAACTACAAACCTGCCTTACAGACAACTTGTCTTTTTAACATACGTTACCCTCCCATCCACTTCAATTAATTATCCCTTTCAACCAATACCGATTAACAACGTCATTCATCTTTAATTTCCTACAGATTCGGCAGATCGATAATGGTAAAGTAAAAGTCAAAGTTATCACTACACTCGACAAACTAAACATTAACTTACTTAAAGTTATTCAACCGTGAGACAGCTGACGACAGTACATCAAGGGGATTTTAATTCTGATGGGTAGTCAAGACTTCACAATGACCTTCCTACCGTCTCCTCCGCCAGCGGGTCCATTCCTTTCCTGCGTTAACCTGAAAGTCAAGAGTATAATGTTGTAGCTACAATGTTAAGCTAAATACTGAAGAACCAGCTATCTTAGGAAATTGCACATGAACAATCTTCAGTTTATTCAGCGATGCGACGTATAATTTATCAAGTCTCAACCACTTTAGTAATAAAGTAAATGGTCAATAAATATTAAAACTTAAGACATTCTTACTAGTAGGTCAAAGGCCTTGCCATGACAATGACAAATTTGCGAATGAAGGAAACAATTTGGAGCTGATCATAAATATTAAAGTTCACACCCTGTGTATGTAAGGTCGCCAAAACACTGGTTACTTTTGAACAAGTCATACGCAGTTTAACACTGGACAACCAGAAACCTCTGGTCTATTGTTACCCACAACTTTATAAAATTTCAAACGAATATTTTCTGATCAACTTTCCCCTGTCATCAGTAGGTATTTATCAGAATACCTCCAAATATTTTTCTTAAGTAACCCGCTGGTCTACCCGAGCAAGGTTTTCGCCCCCGTTCATAATATATTACCGTTTAGTAAATTCTGTTTATATCAACATAGGTACATCGTTAACTATATTTATTCTTCCATGTATAAATATACATAATGATTCAGCTAAGACATCATACTGCCGGAACCTTCATGTGTCATGAACACTTATAGTGCTTCATTTCCCCGAATAATTCATTTTAATTATGTAAATGTATACATTAATAGAAGACTAAATTACTCTTAAAGAAAAGCACTTAGTTGCCTACCAAAAAATTAACTACATAACCTGCCGTGAAATATGAATACAACAAATTGTCTTATATTCGACGACATTGGGAGACAATAGTGCAAGCCAAGGTTAAACCACCAAACAGGAAAACCATGAATAAAGTTTGCCACAAGCGGTCTTTTACTTGCCTATTCATTTTAATTAGTAAAATGGTGTATAATTTATGTCTGATATAGCATCTTTAAAATTACCTTCATAGACAGTACACAAAATTTAGTTCATTAGTTAAACAAATTTTTTACCCCCCCCCCCCATTTACCACGTCGAGAAGTAGACTGTCAACGTTTGGAGAGAAAAAAAAAATTCTACGATTATTTTCTTTTTAAAGTTTGAATAATTTCTCGTAACCGTCCTATGTGGTAATGGTGGCTTCATTCACGAACTAGGGTCTATACGTTGGTCTTGGGAAATATTATGCACTTAATTAACGGTTTCCCAGCCTATCAGCTAAGTCATCGTCCTCTTCATAAGAATTTGTGTAACCTAACATTAAGCTACCCTTACAGATCGGTCGCCTTCTACAAGACCAACTATTAATCCCCCACATTCCTATACAAGACAAACATTATAGGAGACCAATGTCAACTATCGTCATAAGGTCGGTACAAATGATAGGTTCATTGACCCTATCATTGGTGCCGACCATGAATAATGCAATAACGTCAAATAGTGAAGCAAGAGTTCTCTAACAATTAGAATATAATACTTCTAAGAGTAAATTACTAATGAAAAAAGTCTTCGCTTACCTGTAAAACAAAACTTGACCAGGACCACCAACATCAGCCGTGGCTGCCACCTCACTGTCCGGCAAGCTAACAATACCCTCCCCCCCTTGCCTCCCTCGTCCCCACCCCTACCTTCTTCTTACCCCTCCCTACCACCCTCCCCTCCCATTGAATAACGATAACTTTTTTTCTATTTTTTATTTAAAGTATACAGTATACATGCATATCACACATTGACGTAATCACAATACATGAAACCATTTATAAGAAAACATCCTTATAACTAACGTATGACAACCTACCCCTGAACATACATAATAAAATTGCCACTAGCCAAAACTGACATTTGTATTCATATCTTGTATGAAAACTGTATATACAAAAGTTTTTATATATAAACTAATGCTTTGGCCTCTTATTGTACATTGTAATATTAGCATTTTATGTACCTAAACATTCCGTAGCTATTCATCCCCTAATTTTGTATGTTTTATTTAGAGCACAGGTATATAATATACATGTAATCATACATGATTGACTGAAATCACTAAACATGAAGCTATAATAAGAAATACACCATCCTTGTAATTAAACGTTTAACTACCCGCACCTGAATATACGTGACAAAAAATGCTACAAAACTTGCATCAAGAACATAGCACTTAAAAACAGTACCAGGGTTGTGACCTAAATTAATATACACTTTAAATGTACCAAAACCAAACATATAAATTTTTACATAAAACAAAGTGACATTAAACAATAAGTTGATATATGCCTCCTCTCACCACACACAAGGTACACAGTATGAACAGTTTGAAAAATAACCCCGTAATCCGTATGTGTGTATATAATCCTATCTCATTAACCTCCAATCAGATATGAGCCCTTAATAGGGCAACGTTCAATGCTGTCTCCTATAACAAAACATAGTATTACACCCCCCCCCCCTCTTGTCCCTCATTTAGGCAACCACCACTGTCTCTCGGCAGCATACAGTTCCGTCACTCAGTCTCCCAGCTGTACATGAGCATATAAGCCTGTCACATCGCAACAGTATCTCAATCACAACAAACCACACCCAAGCATTCTTACTGCATACATGCATACAATACCTCTAAACAAGTATATATACCTCAACCCTCTGACAGAGGTGTGATGGTAAGTGACCCAGCATAGCAAGGCGTTATATACACAGAGGGTAATACAGTCATCCCATGAGACACGCATGCAAAAATATGAACCTAAATTCTCTACTATCAAACTGGATCACACACTTAATCCAGTTAGCATCACACGTACCTCCTAACACCTACTAACCACACTGAACCTTCCCTCGTTTCCATATAAGCCATACTCCCATACCACACACACACAAACACACACACACACACACACACACACACACACACACACACACACACACACTCCCGACGGCGAGCCCATTGAAACCCCGGATGACATTCTCAATCCTAGCCCCAGACATGACAACCCCCCCCCCACTACAAAGCCAGTAAGATCCCAATAGTTAAACTACGATAACCTACGGGGAAGGCTCCCTCCCACCGCGATCCATATATTTCCCACTCTCTGGCACCCCTCCCACATCCAAAACGAGCGCTCTCAACACCGGTATCCCCCCCCTCCCACTAGCCTCACAATCCTACTCATCCAATCCCTAACATTCCCCAAACATTCGCAAAAATACACCGCAATCATGCCGTATCCTCGCCACCACACACTCCACACCCACTCTCTACTATTCGCCTACAACGACTGACTTCACAAATTCTGATACTTTCAGCCCTTTCTACTTCAATCTCTTGCTGCCCTCTACCCCCGTACTATCCCCTGCCCCGCTGTTTTCTGTAACCTGCTGATCATCCCCCCTCCCTTCTGCCATCCAATTCCCTTGCTTCCTTCCCTGCCCTGCAGCGCTGTATAGCCCTTGTGGCTTAGCGCTTCTTTTTTGATTATAATAATAATAATCTACTATTCGCCTCGCCCGCAGGACCGCTCCTGATGGCAAAATGCCATGCAGGAAACGGAACATAACCTCCCGCACCCGAGGTCTGAGCTTCAACTTACGAAAACGACACCAAATATCTCCCCATCCATACATGGGGTATATTCCCTCCACCGGCACCAACACCCAGCTCCCAATTACTCTCGCCAAAACCCCTATGGGAATCTCACCAGGCTCCCGTAGGACCATGAGGGTATGCAGCACCTCCTCACATTCCCTCAACTCTGCACCCACATACCACCTCTGCACTCCCTCATACAGAAGCTTTAACCCCCCCCACACCCGACCCGTACATATTCCCTTCGTAAGAAAACACATTTTACCCAACGTCGTAGATCCAATAACCCTAACCCCCCCTGACGTACCGGCAGCATTACCACCTCCCTCCTCAGCCAGTCACACCCAGAACCCCATATAAACCTAAACACCTGCTTTAAAATTCTCGTAATTCCTTGCCCCGTTAAGGGGTAAACTGCCGCCACATGCCAAACCTTACTGTATAGTAACGTGTTTACCACGATGGCCCTCTGCAACAATGTCAAATGATACGGGCGCAAACTCCCCAATCTATGCTGCACCCATTCCACAATATGCTCTGAGTTCACCTCTCTCGACCGCACTTGATTCTCCATAAACACTATTCCACATATCTTTAAGCTATCCACCACCCTCCACTTCACACCAGCATCCCAATCCCCCTGCCAGTTCCAATTTCCCAACTTTAAGAAGCAAGATTTCTCCACATTAACCCTCATCCCCGTAGCCTCCCCAAACGTACGAATGACCTCTCCCACCTCTCTCAAACTATTTCCCTCCCACACAAGTACCGTCGTGTCGTCGACGTATCCTACAATCCCCGGCCCACACCCCACCTCCCCTGTCCCCCCCCATAGATACGTGCCTCAATGAGTCTGTAAAAAGGGTCTTGAACACAGGCAAACAGGATTTGAGATAGTGGACATCCTTGCCTGAGACCCCGCCCCATACACACTACTTCCCCTATGCGACTATTAATTTGCACATGCACCCGCGCCCCTTGATACAATGTCTCCACCCATTCTACAACTTCTTCCCCAAATCCCTGCTTTAGAAGGATCTGCCGCAATCCCTCCCATTCCACACGGTCATAAGCTCCCTCCCAATCCAAAGCAAGTAAGCACCCCCTTTCCCCCCAAACCCTCTACAAACCCCTTAAGACGTCCGTGACCCTCGACCATAGATCTGCCAGGCAACCCATATTGCCCTCCAGATACGACACACCCCACGACACATTTTAGGTGATTTCCCAGTATTTTTGCAAACAATTTGTAATCCGCACAAAGTAAAGATACCGCCCGATAATCCTTGAGGGTATTCTGGACCTCTCCCTTTGGGACCAGAACAACCACTGCTGTGGTTTGCAACTCCCCAAACACCCCCTTCTCCTTCATGATATTCATCAACTCCACCAGTAATCCACACATTAACTTCCAATTCTGCAGGTAAAATTCACAGGGTAATCCATCAATCCCCGGAGCCTTTCCCGTACGCATACTCACTAATGCCCGCCAAACCTCGCCCTCGTCTATCTTCCCACCCAGCGCTACTCGATCACTACGCCCCAATAAACATGGCACTAGCTCACAGACTCTATGCAATGCTGCACCTCCCGCTGCACTACGTCCCAAATACTGCTCATACCATGCATCTGCATAACCACTCATTCCCTCAGTCATCCTCAACACTAGCCCCTCACGATAATCCCCCACTTCAGAGTGGACGATTAACCTACTAACCTCTGTGGCCGTCCGACGTCGCTGCTGACCTCGTAAAACACGCGCCGACGGTCGGTCGCTCCATAACACCTCCTCAACCCCCCCTGCACACGCACCGCATTAAACCGTTCATTTTGCAGCTCACGAATCCTTCCCTTCAACGTTTCTATCTCCTCTACAGGATATACTCCCCCATATTCACCTCTCCCATAGCAATCCCTCAACTTACCCTCTAGGTACTGGAGGGGCCCATATGATTGTTGCATCATGCATTTCCCCTCCCTCACATAAAACTTACGTATTCGTGCCTTAGCCACCCCGTCCCACCACCCCAGTAAATCCTCTATGCCCCGCTGTTCCTCACTGAGCTCTGCCCACAACGTCTCAAATCCTCCCTGCCCCTCCTCATCACCTAGGATCCTCGTGTTTAGTTTCCAATAACTCTTCCACCTCCTGGCCAGCCCATCCCACCCCAAGTCTACCACGACCGCCCTGTGATCTGAATATTCCACCTCCACCGTACGCAGGGACTCCACTCTAACCCGCTTAGTGATGTACACCCGATCTAGCCTCGCCGCATATCCTTGTCTAACAAAAGTGTGCTCCACCTCCCAAGCCCCACCCCCAAATACGTCACGTAGACACACATCTTTCAAAAGATCACTTAGGATAGTTGAAAAATGCCCTGCCCCACGCGGCTCGACGTCTGCCCTGCGAATAACACAATTCCAATCCCCTCCCACAATAGCAACAGGTGGTAAAGAACGGAAAAAAAAAACGAGCTCATCCCTCACAAATCCGCTTTCAGAGTGCACACCTCTCTGCGGGTGCGTACACACCACTAACGCACACTCACTTCGCCCATCCACCATCCATCCACTCTGAAAATACGCCCCTCGCCCCCCCTTCACTTCTACTAACCACAAATGGGCTCGCCTCCCGGAGTAGGACTCCCACCCCTCCCTTCAAGCATCCCGTCTGCATCACAAAAGCCCTATAACCATTCACCTCCAATACACGCCCCACCTTAATATTGTGCTCTTGCACAAATACACATCTACTCTATGCCGGCACAAGAAACTTGCAAACCACGCATGCTTCACATCCTGACACAAATCATTAATGTTAACTGTCATACACCTTAGGCCAGCGGTGGTTTCTTCCCCCTGTGCTTTGACACCTTCCTCACAACGCCACCATGTCCTTTCGGACCTCCTTTATGCATGTCCCTACTGGCAGCCCTAACCCTTCCCCGGTCCAGCTCCTGGTCCAAAGTCCCTGAGGGACCACCACCATCCTCCTCCACCACCACCACCTTGCCAGTCCTCTGTG